TGAATTTGTGCTTAAAAGGAGGTCTGTCTGCCATTAACATAAATGGAAAAACTGGTAGTTGGATTATGTCTAAAAGAGGAGTTCGTCAAGGTGATCCTCTTTCTCCACTTTTGTTTGTTTTGGCAGCTGATACATTTTCTAAAATGTTGAATTTAGCAGCTGAAAATTCTCTTATTGAAGGGTTGGGTCCTTCTAATATGGATCAGAAAGTTTGTTGCCTTCAATATGCTGATGATACTCTTGTTTTTTGTAAAAACAAAAGAGAACAGTTAACAATTTTGAAAATGATTTTATACTGTTTTGAATCAGCTTCTGGACTAAAAATAAATTTTAACAAGAGTTTGCTTATTGCTCTTGAAGATAATGAGATTTTACAACATAATTTGGCTTACATGTTAAATTGTAAGAGTGGAAGCTTTCCTATTACTTATCTGGGAATTCCTTTGAGACATGGAAAATTAAAAAAAGAAGATTGGTCTCCTTTAATTGAGAAGTTTGAGAGAAGATTAGCTTTATGGAAAGGAAAGTCTTTATCAAGAGGAGGGAGATTGGTTCTAGTTAATGCTGTTCTTTCTTCCATGCCTATTTTCTGGATGTCTTTTTTTTCTCTTCCTGGGTGGCTTGTTGATAAAGTTGATAGGATGAGGAGAAGGTTTTTGTGGACTGGGTCTTTGGAACATAAGAATTCTTCTAATTTGGTTAAATGGGAGGAAGTGTGCAAACCCAAAAAGCTGGGTGGATTGGGAATTATAAATTTAAGAGTTATGAATAAAGCTTTGTTGGGGAAATGGATTTGGAAGTGGTTTGATAATAAAATGGAGTTTTGGAAACAGATAAGTTTTTACAAATATTTTGAAAACAGAAATTGGACAGAATATTTTTATTCTGGCAAGAGACTTTTATCTCATTTCTGGAAACAAATTTTTAATAATGTTGAAAGTTTCTTGTGTAGTACTTGTGTTAAAGTGGGGAATGGAAATCAAACTCTTTTTTGGTTTGATAAATGGTCAAGTACAAATACTCTGGCTTCTTTGTTTCCTGCGCTTTTTCATATGGCAGAGTTTCCTTATGCTTCTATTAGCAGTTTGAGAAAAAAAATTAATAATGAATGGGTTTGGGATATCAAGTTTCAAAGACAGCTGACTGGAAATTTGGTTTTTCAATATTTTGATATGTTGGAGAGTATTATGTCTGTTAACTTTGTTCACAGGGAGGATAAAAGAATGTGGAACTGGGAAGCAAAAGGCAAGTTCACTGTTAAATCATATTATCATTTTCTTACTGATGGAGGAGTAAGGTATGCATATATCAATCTTTGGAAACTCCCTGTTCCTTTAAAAGTGAAATTTTTGGTTTGGTTGGCTTTAAGAAGCGGTTTAAACACAAAAAAAAATTTGGAGAAGAAAGGTATTCATACAGATATGATGTGCAGTTTTTGTTCTAAGGAAGAGGAAAATCATTTTCATATTTTTGTTAAATGTGAGTTTGTATACTCAATTTGGAGATCTATTCAACACAAAATGAATATTAGAAAAGATTTTACTGTATACTCCTTAAAAGAAATCTGGAAGAGTTGGAAGGATGAGGAACAAGTTAGTGGGAATATAGAAAGAGAAGTGATTATTTGTTCTCTTATTTGGTGTATTTGGCAGGAAAGAAATGATAGAATTTTTACAAATAAGAGGAGAAGATCATTAGAACTTTTGAATAAAATTTTGACTTTTGCAAAATTTTGGATAGGGTCACAGATTTCTGATCGTGCAACTAGATTACAAGAGAGGAGGAGAAAGAAGGCTGCTGCAAATGTTGAGAGGGCTTCGGTTCCTGTGGTGGGGGTGATAGACTTGCTGGAATGATAGTTAAGCTGGAAGTTTTTTGTGATATATTTTGTGGTTTAAAATTGAAAAACTTGTATATCAGTTGGTATTGGGTTATAGTTTCTGATATTTTGTTGCTAGATATCAGTAGGAGAGAAAGACTTGGTGAAGTTTCTTACTTTGTAAAACTGTGATGATTTAGGGTACTCATTCTTGGTTGGGGATGAGTGCCTTTTTTTGTACCAACCTTTTTAATTTAGCTGGCTGGATTACTATTTTGGTAATCCATCCTTTCTCTCAAAAAAAAAGCGACAGAAAACAAATTCTGCCCGCCCTCAGAAGTTTGCCGTATCCTATGTTGCTCTGATGGGTCTGGGCAGTAGGGATTCTGTTAAGTGTTGTTCCATCAAAGCTTTTGCCTGCAACCCAATCGGAAATCACCTTTGCTAAAATCCACGTAAAGGGTATTCTTGTCATTACGCACCTCCTCGACGTCGTTCCTCAGACTGGAAAAAACCCTAGTTGGACTTTGTCTCGTAGCCGGCTTGGTTTACCAGCGGGCTTCATGTGCGCAGGCCCCAAAACCGCTAGGCCTCAAACTTCGATCCAAAAGAGAACAATGACACATGAGAGGAAAGAGAAAAAAAAAAAAAGGGTTAAAGAAGAAGAAGACCATGACAATTGGGCTGCAGAGCTCTGGTGATTGATGCTGATGCTGATGTAATGATGCTGAAGCAGACGGTCTCATGAGTTAAATCAGTGCGTTTGACTGCTTGAATGACAGTCTCTTTAACTCGTGGCTATTGGTCAAACGAGAAAGGACAGGAAATTAAGTGGATGAGGTGTAGGGGGATTAGGTGGAATAATCACATCGTGATCAACATTCTCCATGAGCTAAAAAAATCATATATAAACATGTACAGAGGAATTATACGAAGAGAACGTGCAAATTAATCCGTAAGGAATGGAAATGGCTAAATTACTAAATTGGTAGTTTTTTTTTTTAAACTGATCGGTTTGATATTAAAAGTTTCTCGAGCAGTTTTTATCGATATTAAAAATACGTTAAAATGATAGGAAAATATAGGCTCTTTTCTAACAAAAGGAAAAGATCTCTTGAGCTTTTGAACAAAATTATGACATTTTCGTCATTTTGGCTAGGTTCTAAAAATATTTCTGCTCGAGCTATCAGATTGCAAGAAAGGAGAAGGAAAAGGAATGCGGATAGATTGCTTGCTGTGGGTGCAGATAACAGAGAGAACAGAGCTATGGGAGATGAGGTGATCCAGTTAGAATGATCTACACTCAAATCAGGTTTTGGCTTTGTTTTGAAGTTGGCTGGTGGTTGTGTTTTAAAACTTTGTTTAGCTATGAAACTCTTAGCAGCTGGTTTTTTGTTTTGGTCTTCTCTGTGTGGGAGAGACCTTTGGGGCTATGCAGTGTTGTGCTGGGTTATACTTTTGTTGTGTAATCTTGACTTTAAACTTTAATATGCACTCTTGGTTGGGGGTGTATATTTTTTTTTGTAACAACTTTTTTTTGTTAATTTAGCTGGATGGATTAACTTTGTGATAATCCATCCTTTCTCTCAAAAAAAATACGTTAAAATGTAAGAGAAGTTTGGAAGATAACATGTGACGAATGGCTGACATTAAAACCTAAAAATCTAGAATTAGCCTTTTAACCATCAATGGTGACTCTCAACTATCAATGACGATGAAGCGTCTTTGGACTTTTTGCACTATTAGTGGTCCATAGCACCATTGATGACCCATTACTCACCATCAAAGTGGAACCACGAATGATTCACTTACCAAAATTAGCTTCTGAGCTGATTTTCAGTTCTTTTGGCCTCGTTCATGTTCCATACCTATATACTTCTGTACTAGATCATCTCAAATACAAGTTTGACTAAAATAAATATTTGTTATTACTCAAATAAGAGATATTATAAGGGGTACATCCTACCTCTTTTAGATTACTGCTATGTTCATTTTTTATGTCAATAGCTTGTATGTTGAAGGGATTTCAATTTACTCGATGTCCTGTAACATAATCCTTACATGTTTTTTCATGAACGCCTATCTCTCTATCATAAAAAATGTCAAATTCTTGGGGCGTTAGTCAAGTAGAACTCAAAATTAGAACTAAGATAAATTGTGAGATAATTTTTTTATAGTGTTAGTCCATTAGAACTAGAACTAGGATAACATTATATATTGTTGGTCAACAAGAACTGGATAAAAAGTAGAACTTGGATAATGGTAAAAATTTATCCTGCTTTTGTCAAATTTATATAAAAAAGAGTGTTCTAGTCTCTCAAATTGTCCCAAGTTAAGCTAGAACGACATAGTAAAAAACTAGAACTTTGTTATTTACTTTTTTCTTTTTCACATTTAATTTCTCCATCATTTTCAAACCGCACCATAAAATTAGATCAGACCTCTTCTCTTAATGTTTCCGTCTATCTAATATTAAATTTTATTTTTTATTAAATATTTGGGTATAATTAATTTAAATTTAAAAAATACAAAATTCATGTTTAAATAAAAATTTGGCTTGACAAAACTAATTTGATTTAAAGGTCCAACATTTTGCCAAACTAGATTTTTTTTTGTTTCTGCTAATTAAATTGGTTCGGTTTCCGATCTTCCATGCTATAAAAAAAAAATAATGGAGACACAATTAATATTTTATCATAATCATTGATCGTGGACTTAATGATTATGACTTATTATCATTTAGTAGTGAAGTGGATCTCAGTTAGATACATTTCTTGTTTTATAATCATGAATAAAAGACCAAAAAAGAAAAAAGAAAAAACAGTTGCAATATTTGTGCAGGGGCATTTCTGTAACATCAACAACCGCGCTGAATAAAACCCAACCAAACCGCTGCAAACGAGAACAACAGGACCACGGAGAAGACCATCTCCAAGCTCCTCCCCCATGGATCCAGGAGACGGCGCCTTCTCCCCGAACACGTCTCAAGCTGGGACCGCGGCCCCACTCCCCCCTCCCCCGCCCCCCTACCCCCGCCCTCCACCTCTCCGGCAGCCCGCCGACCTAACGGAGGTCTTCAACGGCTACGGCGTCCGCGTTACCTAACGGCCGTCCGCAATCGGAGAGCTAAGGCTCACGGCGAGCACCCTCGCCGGCATGAACAGAGGACGAGCTCGAAGACATGATGTCCGCCGTCTGCCACGTGTTCAGGTGCGACCATACTCGTAGGGATCGCTGTACGGGATCAAGGGCCGCCGTTAGGGCTGAGCGGCGACGGATGGAGATGGTTAACGCCGTTATTAACGTCGACGTTGACGGGCGGCGCCATTTGCTGCTTCTGTCTCCTGACCATCCGGCTGCGCTCGACGCTCTCTCGCAGGAAGGTGAGTTTGGTAGAGGCTGATTATTTGCGGATAACCCCTCTTTATAAATAGTTTTTATTCTTTGGCACAATAGCGACCCAAAGTTAATTTTTGGTGTTATGTTTATCATTATAAGGCGCTTGTATGCTAAAAATGTTATTTTATCATGTTTTTGGATGAGTAGCTTGTAATTGAAAATTTTTCAATTTTAATAATAATAATAACTGCTGTATTAAAAATTAATTGTTGCGCATTGGATCTCTTGTCATCCATTTAATTCTCAGCTCGGATACATTTCTTAATCTACAAATAAATAATTAGAAAGACTGAAGTGGTCGTTGTTAAACTTTGAACAAGATTCAGTTTAAATTTCTCCCAAATTTTTTTAGTTTTAGCTACTATTTTGTTCTCTTAGTTTTGTGCTTTTTCATGTAAACAAGCCTGTTTACGATCATGACTTAATTTATAAGGGCTTAATATATTGCACTTAAATACCCTATAGTTTCCCTTACCTTCTTGCATTTTGTACCCTCACTTATCTCTTGTAGCACTTGAGTACCCTATAGTTTCTCCTACTTTGCACTTATATACCCTCACCGGTTTTCAGTAGCACCTATATACCCTAAATTTTGAAGCTCTTGCACTTAAACATCCTAAAGTTTTGAAAATTGACACATAAACACGCTAAAGTTTTTAAAATTTACGTTTAAATACTCTCAAGTTGTAAAAACTGTAGGGTATCTAAGTGCAATTAATTAAATACGCATGTGACGCACAGGATTATCCGAGGAACGAGCTCATCATGAGAGCGGAGGCGAGGTAGCCGACAAGGGAAAGCGGGCCTCCACTTTCCGACCAAAAACCCAAAGGACCACCACCGCGGTCTAAATCCACAGAAAAGCGAGAAGAAAAAAGCCGTCGTCGCTCGGGCGCCCCGACGAGCTGGGTTCCGGAACGTCCTGATTCGGCCGGACGTAAGCGGGGTCGATCGGGTCGGTACGAGCGCAGAGGAGCACCGTTTATAGTGACGAGCCGGGGGAGGTGGCACGTGCGAAGAAGAACGGGCTGGATTACCTGTTCCACCTTTACGAGCAGTGCAGGGAGTTTCTGCTCCAGGTCCAGGCCATGGCGAAGGAGCGAGGGGATAAGTGCCCGACCAAGGTAATTCTGACCCTACTCTGACCGGGAATTGGGTTGCTGACACGTGGGCTCGTGAGTGCGGGTCCCGCTGGGTTTAGTTTTTGTGATTTTTTCGAAGCAAATAGGAAGCTTTCCCGTCGGTCTGACACGCGCCGCTGCGCCAAAGCAGCAGGGGGTGACCCCTGCTGTTTTGAGGCGCCTGTCGGCTTTTGAAATTTTCCTTTTATTTGCATATATACCCCTTGGTTGTACTACCCCTCAAATCATTAACTCAGAGAAAAAGTAACCCCGTTAAAGTATAAGTAAATACTAGTGTGTATTAAATCCTAGTTTAGTCCCACATCGATTGTGTGTAGAGAAGTAGGCCTTTGTACATCCATATATTTGGCCGGAGCCTAATGGAATTTTTTCCCATAAGTTAATCTCAAGGGTCCCACAAGGGATTTTTTCCCTTTCCTCTTCCATGATTTCACAAATCATGAAATTAGCATGACTACAACACTCTTCCAACCAAATCTGATTTAATCAGATTTGATCTGTAGACTTGTGGGCATTCACGCCTCATTCAAATTTTGGCATTCAAGCATCCTCAAAATCTCAAACTATTGTGTATGGGCGTTTATTCTTAAGTTTCACCTCTTGAGTAGAGGTCTTTGGGGACATGTCGATGGATCTTATGTACCTCCTGTCAAAGCTACATGCACTGCTGGTGATACATACAATAAAGCTCTTCAAGCTTGGACCACAAACGAACATAAGGTAATGGCCCTTCTCATTCAATCAATTACACCGACCATTCGGCTGCAACTGGTTAATTGTACTTCCACCATATCTCTATGGATGCATCTACAGTGTTTCTACACAACATGATGATACATATGAATATCGCCTACTCCAAGAAGTCGCTTTAGCAAAATAAGGTGAAAGATCCATTCGTGAATTTTATACTTACATGCTTGATTTGTAGCAGCAGCTTGCAGTTCTTGAACATGGCATAACTGACCCAGAATCAGTTAAAAGTTATAATTATTATCGATACCAACAACTTCTATTTCAATTTCTCATGCGACTTCGTCTCGAATATGAATATCTTCACGGACAACTTGGTTCATCGTGTACCACATCCCACAGTGGGATAATGTTGTTGCCGAGCTCCCTGGTGAGGAGACGAAACTTCGCTCTTTATCTGAGCAACCATGTCAGAGTTCTAATCTCGCTACTACCAAGCAATTTTCTCGGCCATAGAATTTCACTATTCAGAGATCATAATAAAAATGATGTCACCTTTGCAAAACAAAAACTTAATTCACTGAAGAATGTCGAGTAATTGCTTCAAAACATGCTGAGGACACCCATACCAGATGTTCGTGCTAGCGCCATCCCAATGATTCCCTACAGGATGCAGTCGCTAACTCTTCATCATCTACCTCCTAATCAGAAGCTCCAATTGATCATCTTGACCATTTGCGTTAATTTCAAGAATTATTTTTAGTCTTTGAATATTACTGGTAGTTCTTCTAAAATATCTCCTGTTGCATCTACTTTTGCCACATCCTCAGGTAAATCTACTTCAACATGGATTTTGAATTTTAGTACAACTCATCACTTGACTGCTAATTCATCACATTTAGTCTCTATCTCTCCTATATCACCATTAAATATAGCTTGTAATGCTGATGGCACACCATTATTTATTACATGTAGTGGACATCTTAATTTACCTCCTTCATTTTATGTTCCACATGTGCTACATGTTCCTAAGCTTGCTTTCAATATTTTATCTGTATCCGAATTAACTGCTATGAACTATAATGTCTCATTCAATTCCACATCTTGTTCTGTACATGATAACACATGGAAATAGATTGGGACATGTCATATTCCAAAGCCCTCTACTGCGGCTATTCACATTACCACCACACCTCCTTCTATGTGTGATATCTGGCATTATCAGCCTTGTCATCTTTCACTTCCTTGTCTTCGTTATTTGTCAACTACTAGTGCATTAGGAGAAGTTTCTACTAAATCTCTTGCTCCATGTGTAACATACAGGTTGGCAAAATACTTAGCTTTACCTTTTCCTAGTAGTAATTGTTTGGGGAGAAAGTTGATGTATTCATTACTGTGTTCATTACAACTTCAAATGTTACAACGAAAACAAAAGTTAGTCTTTTTATAAGACCCTTACACAATGAAAACAAAAAAAGTACAACTCTTGTCAAACAACGCAACGGATGTTTATCGCCCGCTGCTTGCGTGGAATCTTGGCTTGTGACTGGGACGTTAGTATCCGTGGACCACCAAATGATCAGATCAGATCCGGAGTTTCGTTGATTCGCGAAAGAATCAAGAAGCCGAAGTAGTTATCTCGACAACAGCGAGATAACCACTCTTCTCGAGATCACCGTAACAGGGCGATCTTAAGGAAATGAATCGGGGCGTGCAGATCTGACGAACTCTCCTTCTTTATACCGAAGAATCCACTGAAGTCTCCTCCTCCTCTCTGAAATTCATGGCTCTTCAGTCCTCAATTCGACATGGCTTCGCCAACGCTCGAGAATTCTAGATCTTAAAAAATGAAGGTCCTGGGGCGGTATTTATAGACTTAAACCCTGGGGCGGTATTTATAAGCTTAGGGACCCCTGTTTTCGGATAAGAAGAGTCAGCAATTTCTAAAATTGCTCGTGAGACAAACCTGGGATGGTGGTACCACCTCTTCCTTTGACTGAAGAAGCCGCGACTGCTGCGTAGACCTTCCCACGTCGTTCATGACCTCGGCCTCCGGCTGAGTCATCTCGCTCATGTCCCTTCTTGCCTTTGTACTAAACCGGGTACCCATTCAACTCGAAACAGTACGAGACTTTATGTCCAGGCTTGTTGCAATGCGAGCAGCTCTTCTCGGCTCCGCCGCGTTATGGCAACCTAAGCGGGGGGTCGGTTCTGTCGTGTTGTTGCAGCCTAGGCAGAGGAGGCCCCCTTCCCTTTGCCCCGGTCTGCACTGCTATGGCGACCGCCTCGACTCTCTCCTCGTGACCTCGCACAATAGTCCGGTGTTGCTCCTCTCGTGTGATTAAGGCATAGGGTTTATTCACTGTTGGCAAGGGCTCCATACTAAGGATTTGAGACCGGATTGTCCCACAAGGTGTGTCATCTAGTCCCATGAGGAATTGGTGCAATTTCTCCTCTTTCTCTCGAAGAAACTCGTGCGCCGCTCCACACGTGCAAGTTGGGACCTTTGAGTAGCTGCTCAACTCGTCCCACATCCCTTTCCATTTTGTGTAATACACCATGACGTACGTCCCTTGCTGTTGAAGTGAGGCAATATCGCTCTTCAATTCATGGATTCGTGGCACGTTCCCAATTGAGTAACGATCTCTCAGGTCGTCCTAGACTTCCTTCGCAGTCTCCAACTACGCGACGTTCGGCTGAATGGACTTCTCAATCGAATTGAAATCCATGTGATCAACATCGAATCGCAAGCCTCCCACTTACTTGCCTCTGGTGTAACGTCAACAGGTTTTGTTAAGATTCCATTGATGAACCCTAATTTATTCTTCGCCTTTAGCGCATTCACCATTGCCTTATCCCACATATCATAGTTGTCCCCGTTCAAGAAACACGTTGTCACAGTCGCACCTGGATTGTCGGATGGATGCAAAAAGAATGGTGATGACGGATCTATCGCCTTCTTCATCATTTCAATGCCCATGAAGGAGATCAAGATATGGTAGTCCTAAGAAATGAGGGTTGACTAGCGGCGGTTTTAAAGAGTAGCTAGCGACGGCTTGAATATGCAAGGGAGGAGGGGCGAGGGCTATAGGGTGGCTAGGGTTTCAGAGTTTCAAACTCCGCTCTTATACCATGTAAAAACAGTTAAGATTGAAGAGAGATATTTTCTTTTGATTTCTGATGATTAATATGTGCAAATAAGTTCCAGGTATATATAACAAAGTCTAGATTCCTAAACCTGGTAAAACGATATTCTAGGTAAGTCTTAGATAAGATATGATATCTCTTAATTATGATACACCAAATATATACAAATCAACACAATCTATATTTGAAAATCCTCCCTTATGATGTTCCACGAGGGATTGTCATCCTCCTGACAGATTGAACCTTTTCACTTCCCTTTCACCCTCCATTCTGACTTTTCTTACCACAATATTAATTTTATAGGAAACACAATATTACCATGAGGTTGTAAAGTTACCTGGGTGGAAACAAGCAATGTTCGAAAAACTACATGCTCTTTAGAAAACACAAACTTGGGAGCTCAATGCTTTACCTTTATACGTAAACGGGCAATTTGCTGTAAATGGATCTACAAGATCAAACTCCATGCTGATAGTACTATTGAGAGATAAAAAAAACCCATCTTGTAGCTCGCATCTTTATGCAACAATATGACATTGATTATGATGAGATGTTTGCTCTTGTGACCCGGATGACTACTATTTGTACACTTCTTGTAGTCTCTGCAGTTGATAATTAGCAAATTTTCCAAATAGATGTTAAGAATGCTTTCTTACATGGTGACAATTCTAAGGATCTTTGCATGCTTTCGCCAAATGGTCTTCCACATCAATATGGACATGCTTGTTATCTTTGTCGGGCACTTTATGGTTTAAAGTAGGCTCCTCCCGCTTGTTTTGCTCAATTGAGCTCCATTATTTAGGGTGCCAATTTTATTCCTAGTTATAATGATCCTGCTATGTTCAAGCACACCTCCGGGACTATCCTTCTTCTATATGTTGACGACATGATTCTCACCGGTCCCTCAAAATCTTATATACAACAAGTCAAACAATATTTGAATTAGCAATTTGAGATGAAGGATGTTCGACATCTTCGATGCTATTTAGGGCTTGAGATTGATCACTTGTAGTGGGGATATATTCTTTCACAAAAGCGAGTCTTTAAAAATATTTTAGATTGCTCTGGGATGACAGATACTAAGACTACACCTACACCTCTTGAACTTAATGTTAAGCTTAGTTCTACTGATGCCTGACAGTGAGCATTTATCTGATCCTTCCCGCTACCATCAACTCACAAGGAGTCTGATCTACATCACCATTAACCGACCTGATATTTTCTGTGTAGTACATACCGTCAGCCAGTTTGTCTCAGTTCCTCGTACAGATCACTATGTAGTTAGTTCTTCACATTCTTCGCTATCTTTGAGGGACTTCAAATCTAATCTCTATTTTTCTCATCCTACCATCTTTAGTTGCAAGCTTACAAAGATGTTGACTCCGCTGGAGATGTTAATGATCATCGCTCCACAACTGGCTATTATATATTCTTCGAGATTCTTTGATTTTCTGGAAAGTAAAGAAGCAAGACGTTGTTTCTCGTTCTAGCTCTAAGGTAGAATATCTGAGAGTGGCATCCACTACTGCTGAAATTGTTTGGCTTCGTCGGTTACTCGATGACATGAGAATGTCTTCTACTACTTACATTCCTCTTCATTGTGACAACACTAGTGCTATCAAAATAGCCAGTAATATTTCATGAACTCACCAAGCATATCTAGATTGACTGCCAGTTCACACGTCACCACTTTATTAATGACACTATTTCTTTATCTTACATCTGCTCTCAGATGCAGTTGGCTAATTTCTTCACTAAATCTCAAACCCTCCAGCGTCATTTTTTTACATAAGCAAACTCTTGTTGGTTGATCCACCATGAGTTTGAGGGGGGGGGGGGGGGATGTAAGTACTAGTGTGTATTAAATCTTAGTTTAGGCTTACATCGACTATGTGTAGAGAAGTAGTCATTTGTACATCTATATATTCTGAGTTAAACACGCTTAAAATCAACAAATCATCAATTTGATGAGTTAATATTTTGACTATTTTCTTGATAATTTTAACATGCTGGTTCAAATTAGCCTATCAAAGGTGACAATTGATTGATTTGGAGGTATTTCTTTTCAAAATCGATAATTTGAGGGGTAGTTTCACAGATATTGAGATTTGAGGATAGTTTTGAACGTACCCAGATTTAAGAGGTATATATGCCGAGAACCCTAACTATTTTGTGTTCTTTTACCAAGTTAGTCCCTCGAAATTTAACGTTTCCCTCGAAATTTAACGTTTGTGGATTTCATTGCAGTTTCTCAAGTCAATGGATTACTGTTAGAACCCAAATCTTGTAACTTGCTTCACATTATTCTAAAATTTTCGTCTAACTTCCAATTTTAGTTTGGCTAGTGATTGATCGCCTTCAATGCTATTTACCATTTTAGTTTGGCTAGTGGTTGTAACTAGGTTTTGTAATTAGAATTCATTGAAACGAGTAGGAGTAAATCTTTAAGGCCCCGTTTGGCTAAGGGTTAATGAAGAGGGGTTAAAGAGAAAGATTAATGTACTTAGCCCATTTGATAATCTGAAGGACTAAATTATTAACCTGTTAAATAAGTTTTATTTTAGCCCTTATGATCAGTTTTAGTGTTTGGGAATAACTATGATTTTGACTATTTTCTTTATAATTAGAAGGGTTAACTCTTATTCCATCTAAATAGGAGTATTAGTAAACCCCTCATTTTGAGGGGTTAACTCATTTTAACCCCTCTAGAGGGGTTAACTTAACCCTTCTATATTTTTTATGTTTGGCAAATTATGGAGGGTTAACTCACTTTAACCCTTATATAGATTTGTTGTGTTTGACAGGTTAAGAAGGGGTTAAGTCTCCTTAACGCCTCACTTAACCCTTTGCCAAACGGTACCTAAGGGTATAACAGCTGTTTCATCTAAAAAAATAATAAAATAAAAAATATTAAACATATTTAAATAGATTATTCTTCCAATTTGACTGTAGCAAACTAATTTGAAATAACTTATAAGATCTGAAGGACTTGTATGATATCAATGATTCCAAATTAGTATTTTCACAAAAGAATCAGTGTAATAATGCAACTTTTATTACACACTGGCAGAGCGTTTACTTACAGTTATGACCATCCATTTGTTGTAATTTCAATTTTAAAAGAAATCCTAAACAATTTGCAATCAAATGGATGGCGTGTATGAGTTTGAAAACATGCTTGGCGCCTATTTTGCTTACAAATTGGCTGCATGTACGCGTGCAGGTGACGAACCAAGTGTTCCGGTACGCGAAGAAAGTCGGAGCGAGCTACATAAACAAGCCCAAGATGCGGCACTACGTCCACTGCACGCCCTCCACTGCCTCGGCGAGGCCACCTCCGACGCCATCCGCCGCGAGTAAAAGGACCGTGTGCGAGAATGTGGGAGCATGGGCGGCAGGCCTGCTACAGCCTTGGTGGCCATCTAGCCCGTCACGGCTGGGACATCGACGGCGGTCTTTCGCCGGCACATCCTCGCCTGTCGATTTGGTACGTCCGACGAAGCTCCGTCAGCTTTGTCAGCCTGGCCCGCGGACAATGCTGCTGCTGGCGTGGGGCGCCTCGGCGCTTGCCGCTGGGGTGGCCGTCGCAGATCCTTGTTTTAGTTTAGTTGACTTTGTTAATGAATTGTCTGACTGATCCTCAGGGAACTGGTACTGTAATAGATATATCATGATGTTTGGTCGCATTGATCTCATGAATATAGTGTTCTCTTTATTGCAATTTGAATTAGTAATTATTAACTGCATGCAACAATGAAACTAAGAAATTTCAAATGTATCAAACTCTAGAGATATAATAAAAAATCCAAATAAGAACACAGAAACTTACCAAATTAACAAAGCAATAGGGTTTGATAATAATTAAGGCAGAAAACTTCAATGATTCACCAAAATAAAACAATAACTTTAAAACCATAAAAATTCAAAACATAACCCAAAATTGCCCAAAAAGAAATGTAATCACTTGATTGAGAGATACAGTACTCAAAAAGTGTGAGATAAAGCTCCTCGGTAGTGGGTTAGTGCTTTTCCAACAATTGGCTCTTCGGATTCCTTGTATCACTGGTAGCTTGAACTTTTTTTTGTATTTTTTTGCAAAGTTATAATGTATCCTTAAAAGTAGAAACGTGGTGAATTGGAATTGTTGTACTTGGGGGCTGTTTGGTTGTATGTTTTTACCATGTAAAAGGATGGAAAGTGTAAAAAAATGGGTCCCAATGTCAGCTTTCATCACTTTCAATTGTTTGTTTGTATTTGTGAAAATAGTGTAAAGTGATTTCATATGCTGATGTGGCTTGTAAAGTGATTTCATAAAAAAAAAGACATGATTTTAGGAGAAAGCTGACATTGAAGTCAGGAAAAAATAATAAAAAATAATTCCAACCAATATGATCATTTGAGTAGGGATCACTTTTTACACTTTCCAAACAAACAATTAAAGTTACATTTACAAACCAAAAAAGCAATTTATGATTTCAATGGAATAAAAAACAAACAAAGAAAAATATAAAAGTAAAATTGATGAGGTGGACAACAACTTTCCAAGTTGTGTCATAAATACACAACTTTACCAACAACCAAACAGCCCCTTGAAGGAAGAAGGGAATTTGAAAAGTTGTGATGTTAAAATTTAGACCGAGAAAGGACCAAATTAGGGATTGAGATCCTCTCCTAAGGAATAGTGTTTCCTAAGATCTCCTAATGCATCTCAACCATTCATTGTATAGGACGTCCTCGTTTTTTGTACTCATACACAAAATCAAAGGTTGAGATGCATTAGGAGATCTTAGAAAATACTATTCCTTAGGAGAGGATCCTAATCCCCAAATTAGGACCATCAGCCAGTTTGAATCAGAAGAAAAATTCTTTAAGGACCCAAAATATGGGACCAATAGAGGGGACAAGTGAGGTGTTCCCCTCTTATTGGATAATGAGTTGGCCATCATTAATGATGACCAACTCATTATCCAATAGAAGGGGGACACCTCATTTGTCCCATTTATTCGTCTCATATTTTGGGTCCTATAGCAAAGCTCGAATCAGAATTGTCTCGTGTAAGCCCATTCGGGAGCTGCTTAATGGGCTTCAGCAGGTGGGCCTGATCGGCCTATATATTTATGGATTTAAACCACAATGCGCGTACAGTATCCACGCGTCGCTTCTCGAACACCCTCAACCGTCCGATCCATCGATCCCGATTTCAACGGATCAGATCCGTCGAAATCCGCGGCCCGGAATAAATGCTCTCTCTTCTACATTCATCTCCCCCCCCCCTCCCCATCTTCCCCCTTTCTAAGATCCGAGCACGAGTCGAAACCCTAGAACGCCATTAACGAGCTCGAGGATGCTGAGGGCAGCAGGAAGAAGGCTGACCTCTCTCTCGTGGAGGCC